CGACGATCAGCGATGGGTGTTCGGCTCCGCAATGTGCAGTCTTCTTTCGTTTTTACAAGGAATCGCAGTGTTTCTCAGCTCCTGGACATTAGTGGTGATCAGGTGAGTCTCCTCCTTCTTCGATTTCGCTTCATTCCTTTCAACTTGATCGAATTGTAGTTTTGATCGATGGATGGCAATCATGTTTGTTATGTCACCAAGTATGCGACTAACCCGAAAACGAGCTGTCTATCTTGTGTTAGCGACGTGGGCCTTCAGGTTTGTTTTCCTTTTCTTCTTCCCAATGTCTTTCAAATACTCATTTTTAGCATATCCATGGCCCTGCCGCTCTTTCTCGTTTCGAGGATACATGTAACCGATGGCATAAAGCGATGTGACGAGGACTGGGCCCCTGTAGAGGCTGTTGTACCAGGAGTGAGTGGTTCTCTTTGGCAAAGCTGTTCAGATAAATACGGAACAACAGGCATGATTCAAAACCGTAAAATTCATGAGGCAAAGTGATCACCATATAACTATAGCATTGCAGAAACTTGGGTACCCCCAGGAGGCCCGTCGCGCGGCAAGAAGGCAGAGTCGCGGACGAGTCGCAGCGCGTGATGTGCGATGTAGGACGTGCAATGGACATTCTATTTAACTTGACGCGAAATCCCTACAGTACGCGCGCAACTCGTCCGCTGACTCGCCTTCTTGCCGCGCGACGGGCCTCCTGGGGGTACCCAGAAAGCTCCCATCGTACTTACTTCCCAGAATAGGCACAAAAAGCAAACACCAGGAAATGTTTTTTTTTGTGAGGGAGAACCACTGCTTCACAGTGTTGTACTTATTTATCGCCACCTAAAATCGTTTAGATGAGAGCAGTTTAATTTTTGCCAAGAGAGACGGAGGACGTGTGCGTTTTTCGACAATGAAATATTTTTTCAACCTTCCAGTTTTCTCTTCAGACCATTTATCGTGTTCTCACTTCACCACAATAGCCCACACCTCTCTCATCTGTTGAGCGCTCTCACCTACATTTTGTCTTTCAAGAATTCATAACCATTCGCACATCTTGCAACACCACCTTAAAGGAGGAATTCACGATTAGAATGAAGGTCGAAGAAAGGGAAACTGACCTAGTTGAGGGACCCACGGACCTCCTGAGGGTGCGAACTGACGCGCAATTCGCATGGAAAAATTTGACCTCGGCGACCTATCATGCCTCAAAGCTGGCGGGTCCGGCGATCTCCGCCCACCGATCATCTGATCACTCGCCGTAGTTCAATACGTGGCGAGTGATTAGATAGCTGAGAGAGCGTAGTGTTGAAGAGGGCACAGCGATGAGAGTCGCATCAATGCTCAAATCAACGGGCAAGGAAGGGGTCCCATTTCTCGGGTTCTGGGCCGTTTCTCATGGTTCTTCCTTCTTTCGTGTACCACTCACCATCCCTAGTTAATTTGAAATGGGTTGCTTTTTCATCGTGAATTCGTCCTTTAAGGAAACATCTATAGCACACTTTGCAGGGGTCGCGTGACTTAAATATTATACATTTTATGCAATAGTATGTAGTCAAAAGTAGTCGCCGAAATGATTTTCCGCATATTACTATTCGTTCCTCCAGCGGTCGCTTCAAATTTTTGCTAATTTTACCTTCCGATTGAGTTTTTAAATTTTTGGATCTAATTTCTAAGAGCTCACAAAATGGTCTACAGTGAAACAGCTCTGGTTAGCAATTTATCAAGAGTGTCTATATGAGATTCTATCGTATACATCTAGATGTATAACCATCTGGATATATAACCACATAGATAAATCAAGATCAAAATAAACTTTCTGATTATACATATGAGACAGAAAATGGTCATGCTTTCTAAAACAATCAGCTAACACGTCATGTGAGAGCTGAGTGCAGTCGTCACAGTCACACGTCACTCTCAAGCGAAACTACAGGGGTGGCCAAAAAAAGAGACACTTAGCCCATGGCGCACATCATCGAACTTTTCGTCGCACAGGGAGCCGATGTTAATGAAAGTTTTACGGCGTTATATTCCTTAGTTGTTCCCGTAAACAGAAGCAAGCACTCCTTCACTGCCCCTGCCGTCTCCAGAATATGACGTCATCTGCCGTCACCGTCGAGCTCAACGAGGCTTACCGTAATCGCTCCGACCTGAAGCTGCTACATAATTTCTTCAATGAATTAATTGTTGAATAGCTTCCCAGAGACATTAGCTGTGACTGTGCAAAACCGCTTTTGACCAGCGTTTCAGAGACGTCGTAATCGTCTATGGTATCTCGACGACCTCGTTGAGCTCGTACCGTGCACATGCTTCCGTGGGAAAATCTTCTGATGTCGTCGGTGTAGAAGGCTGTTGTGTAGCTTGTTGATAGATTATAACGTGCTCTTCAATATTCAGTTGGGGATCATTTGGTTTGGTTTCGCAACGCGTAAATAATTCCGTTTTGAATGTGGAGTGAAGTGTCTCTTTTTTTGGCCACCCCTGTACATAAATCCACGACTAGCAACATGGGATAAATGTATAGTAGTTGAGTGACAAAAGGTGAATACAAGTGATAAAATGATAGTTGGTGATAATAACAGGTCCTGTGATGAACAAACAAAGTTTGTACTGGCTGTAAGCCTCTATGTATTTGGTATGTAACGGAAAACCTTTTCACTCTTTTCTATCTCCCGTGAGATCCGTGCAATATGTGACAATTGTTCAGTAAAAAAAACTTGAGTGTGTAGGGGGGTGAAGCGACTGATTCAGGTAGTGGACTGCTACGTTCAAGAAGCAGTGATGGAATGAAGGATAAGGAGAAGATGAAGTAATCAACAATAACAGCACTATATAAACCCCCCTGTGGTTGGTAATAAACAGTTCTACCCCACTGTCGTCTACACATCGAGTGGCGATCAGGATGAGATGTGTGTGTTTTGTTGGAGCTCACTTTTTTGGAAAATCCGTGTGCGTTCAATGCTTCTTTTGAATTTTGGAAATCGACCCCTTTATTCAAATTAATCTACCGCGAGACGTCGAGCGTTTTCCCCCAAATTGGAGAAACTGTTGTTGCTTTCTCGCCGTATCAAATTCCTCAAGCCTCAAGGCGCTTTTTGAAGTTCAGTTTCTGAAGTATTCATAGAATCTATACAGTTCGAATACACGATCGATATTGTTTCTTTTTTAGTCCACTTTTCAACCATTTCATCAAATACAAATATCTCTGAACACTCCATTCGTTTCACCAGATTCGGAAGCCTTCCAAAATAAATCATTGAGATGCCTGGAGATGGCATCTGTTTTCAAAAGTTTTATAGTTTATGTTCATGTAATCCAGCTGTTCTATCCAAAGATTGGAAAATTCCTTGCAAACTTCAAATTTAGCCGTTTTCTCTTTCCATTTTTGCATTTTCTAGTCCCGTCGACTCTATTCGTACCTTATCCTGGTGCTGCAATATGTGGTGCCACTCACGGTGTTAATCATCACCTACACGTTCATCGGGATGAAAATGTGGAACAGTCGAATTCCTGGACCAACGAGTTTGACGACGAAGAAGGTGGTGATGGAGAGGCACGAAAGTGTGAAAAAGGTACGTATCCGTCTTTCGTGAGTCACCTGTTGCCACGATCACACTGTTTCAGTTGATTCCAATGGTGATTCTTATCTCGGCCATGTTTGCCTTCTGTTGGCTGCCTCTTTTGCTTCTCATCAACGTGGTCATCGATCTTTGGCCAAGTGTGGCCAGCTGGAAATTCATACTTTATATATGGTAAGTAATGCCTCCATTACTAGTCCATTACCTCTAACAATAAGGTCTCTACTATGGAAACGAATAAATTTCGAAGCGGGATAGGCGATGAAAATTCAACCAAACAAGCGGAGAGCTCGCACCTCCCCTTCCCTTCGATTCACTCGACATCGGTCCCTTACAAAATGCCTGAAGAAATCAAAATCGCTGACTTGTACACCGACTGCCTCGAGCCACCCGTTGTGGCAGGCTGAGGCTGAATTTTTGGGTGCATCAACACGTTCGATTTTCATTTACAAAATACATTCCATGGATCAATTCTGGCTGTGAATATTATGCTACAAATAAGGTCACCCAAAGATTTCAGCAGTACCAGGAATAATCGCCATGTGGGCAGTTGCTGAGACGTTTGACAAACCCTCAGTACCATGCGGCGGCCTAGGTAGTGGGAATCAGTTTCGTCTAAGGATTTCAAAGCGTATAGAGCCAACTTTATAAGACTCTATATCATTCCTGTCATACAAGGCGGCCCTTATAAAAAATCAATCGCGTCAAGGTTCACAGAACCAGCGGGTCCTTGGTGAACCATAGTAAAGTTGTGTGCTCATGCATATCCTGGCTGAAAGCGCCACCAAACTTTCTCGAAGTGGAAACCAGCGAGTTGTCTGAAACGATTACCAAAGCATTACTATATCTTTTCTTTGTGGATTTTAACACCGCGCCTCAGTAGTGTGATTTTTAAGTTTAGTGTGGTTTGCCTTGTTGGAGTTCTTCCATCCCTTCCCTAACCATGGAAAGACAATTTTCCTTTTTCTCATGGTCTCACCCTCCGACGGTATGAAGCACGTATACACCTGCTCTACCAGACGCCCCAATTTCAACCCTATTGAAACAGCGCTATATAAATCTGAGACGAAACTACTGAAACTTCTTGTGTGCAGCTTGTGGAGTACATATTGGCCGAGTGTCTCAAGAACTGCGATAGGACTTTCGAGAAGCCCTCTTATTTTTCAAATTCATGTTAAATAGAGGATAGAATAATGCCATTGTTTGTTCACGAAATACAATGAAGGCAGAAGAATTGATGCGAAAGCCAATTTCGCCCCATCCTACATATGCATATGCCCCCACCCTACATGTACATATAGGCCAAACTGCGTTGAACTTGGTTCAACTTGGAATTACTATGACTTGAAATGGAGACATTAATGGAGTGCGTGGCACATCCTAAAAGGGTTTGACTGATGTAGGGTTTATCCGCTATTACTCAGTGAACCACTACTGGGCATTATAATACTTCTCAAAATTCGGCACCTACCACTCAGCTTTCGCATTGATCGCACCAAATGGCCAGTTTTTGCAGCCTGCCGTGATCCACCGAAAGATTTGTGAGTGGGAGCTGGGAATGAAACGAAGTAATCCGGAATTCTAGTGAAGCTGTGAGCTTCCTAATAAAATATTATCTCTGCCGACAAATTCTTGCATTAAAAATTGGTACCATTCATAGCAACTTTCAAAGTTCCTTTGTCAATTTGTCAAATGCCATACCTTCCTAAAACATTGTACGACCCACGTCTGCCCCGGAAAGCCTAGATGTGGCTCACCCTGTTTCAAACGCCCCTTGAGAAGAGCTTCTCGAGATTTTCATATTTCGCTACACTTTCAAAAGCAATCTATTGCGATATGTGCTGTATGTAGTGTTGACTGACTATCGAGTGATTTTGCTGGGCATAGTCTTCGAATGTGTAACGAATCATAGCTAATCGTATTTGTTAGCCATTTGCATTGTTGACGTCATCTATCCATCTATCATGTTTATGCAGAAGAACCTTTAGTAGCCTAGTCGTTCAGCCACAATACTTAGAAGAAGATGTCAAGCTGCACATGATAAACATATCCTCCTCCGAGTATGAATGTTGCAGCTCACGATAAAGCGAGGGATTACGATAAGTTTGGGATGGGATTGTAGCGAAAGTGAGGATGCCAAGTAACGCCGGTGGCGAAAAAAGCAGAAAAATCCGTCAAAAACACGCAATATGTATAGGACCCCTCTTGTTTGCCCGTTGACCTCCGACAATGGACGAGCCAGCACCCAAGGAAGGAGTCGATTGCTCGTGTTAGCCCGATAGCTACCGTTTTGGAACAAATACCATGCTTCGATTGACAACACATTATATAGAAAAGTTATGTGTACAGCCGCTCGAAGTGACATACCATCCAAAATGAAAGAACGAACAGTGTACTATTGGCAAAGCGCTGGTGAATGGACCACAGTTGGAGACGGGGTACAAAAACGATTTTTAGCCCCATCGCACGTAATATTTCCATGCTACATCTATACACCATCGCAATCCCACGCTTCGACTGCCGTGTTCACAAAGGCAGTTTGGAGGTTGTGCCAAGGAAAATCTGTTTTGGTGCTCTACGCTTTGTAGGAGAATCAGCAGAAGCGAACAGAGGCGAGGGGGGGGCTGACATTTACCACAATTGAAGCTAATAAATGCTAGTCAATTCAAGCCTAGGGTTATGCAAGTCACGATGGGGGCGCGTTCACCTTCTCTTGATGGTGCACTCGTGTTGATGAGGCCAAAAAATGAATTCCTAATTTTCTGTTGCGTGGATAATGAAACTTGAAAAAAAGAAGAAATGAAAGTGAACTTATAAACAAAATATAAATATAAGAATGGACGGGACTCGATCCCGTTTTCAGGCTTTTCGAGCACTGCGCTGTGACACTATCAGTAACCCCACCAGCGTGTTTCCATTCATATTCGAGAACATAAACACAACTCGGATTTCGTGATAAGATTACATCCGTTGTCGTGTTCCAGGTGGTTTTCCCATGGCTTGGCAATGATGCATTCGATGGTGAATCCGATAGTCTATTTTCTTCGGAATGCACGTTTCCGAGAAGGTTTCCGCTACTTCTCACGATTTCTGCCATTTGTTCACTTCTCTGAATGAACAAAACAGAAGGTTTGTTTTATCCACATTTCTAGAATTTAGCCTAGGGATATTTCCAACGAAAGTTTGCCCACTTCAAACTCCCTGATCGGTAATGGTTTGCGAAATATGAGGTTATAGAAGAATTTAATAGATAACACTTTAGCTAGCAGATTTTGAACCATTATCTCAATGACCTTGATTCCACCCTGAGAATGAATCGAAAGGATCATTATGTAATACGCTTTATGCCATGTTTTTTTTAAATGTGTTTTGCTGGCATTTCTCACAAAATATTGAGCACCAACTAACCCAAGGACGGGTCGAGTTCGAACTGATCTTTTATTTTGTTCGAGGATTAGAAAAGAAGTGCTATGAGGAACGTCAGAGGGGTAACGAGCTAGAAGCAGCATGATAACTTCGTATAATGTATGCTATACGAAGATCGCCCGTGGTATGATGGAGAGACACAACACTGCGAGGAGAGGGAAACGCGAGAAAGCAATTGACCCGAGAGGGAGCAGACACCACGTATGCCGCGATCGATAAAGTGGCAGCGCCGCCAAAGGCAGAGCGTTAGCGCCTTTGGCGCGCACTTTTGGGTCGTGGCTCCTGAGCCTGGGGAATCGGCTGGTTTCTAACTCTAGGAAATACAAATACTTGGCAGCCTGTGCTTTCAAAGTGGGCCTCAAACATATTTCTTTCTTGGGTCTATTGGAATTAAGCCTCTGCAAGAAATGTCACAAATTCTCACAACGTATACTTATGTACATGGAGCCCAAAATTCAAAGCGTTTTCATTCCACGAACGCGAATCAACGAACGCGTGAAGGCGCAGCGGCGCCGGTATGATTTAATCACTAGTCACACTCACTTACTGCCTCAGTTAAGATTTATTATTTTTTGAGTTCGAAATACGTTTCAATATTTTTGCTTTTTGTTCAACATTTTTTGTTCGATTGTAGCAGCTTTGGTGTTGTGTATGTCCAGATTGGCCTCACATCTATCATTTCATTTATGCACAGACATGAACCTCTGGTTGACAAGCAGGCCCATGGGTCTATTACAGTTAGGAGGCACTGCGATGGGCAGCCTGCTCTGATGCCAGTTTGCCTCACGGAGTCTTTCAAAGCTCCAAGCTATCAGCTCCATTGCTATGTCGTTTCTTCTGGTTTTTTGAATAATGTACGTGATCCTGTGTTTTATTACATAAACATCTATTAGAAGTATTATTCACCTAGTGTGAAGACTAGGAAAGCCTAGGAAAGGGGAGGAAGTCCTCCCGGAGAAAATCCTAAACCTTCACACTAGCAGAATAGGCCAAATGTGGTTTTAAACACGTTGAGCGCTCTCGACAGCATGCTCCCTCCTAACTGGAATAGACCCCAGACCCATCTTCACCTTCGAATCTGATACTTCGATTTTCAAACTATTATATAAACCAAAATCTCAAATGTGGATTTGGCGCCATCTGACGCTTACTTTCCGCTCGTCTGCGCTCTCTCAATGTACCGCAATCAGGACTTATAATGTGCCTTTGGAGAGTGCAAAGTATCGGCAAAAATCAAAGTCTTGAGATGTGGGGGGTTGTAATAGTCGAATAATGTCAAAAAGGATAAATGATGAGCGTAAAATGCGTACATGTTGTTCTCCGTCGCTGAGCGCAGAAAGTGTCCTTTTTCAATCATTTGTAGTTCTTCTGAAGTGGCGTCCCGTTTTTATTGCTTCCTACAGACAAATAAGCTGAAAGGCTGCAACATAGTATTTACAAAAGTGACCTGTTATTTAGGCCCTGTTTACAGCCTAGGCCACTCTCAGCATGTGTGTATTATAAAGGATAAAGGATAAAGCATTTGCCGTTGATCAATCCCTTTTGGGATGCGGCACGCATTCTACTTC